AGAAGCCCAGGAAGGCGCGTCGCTGTGGACGCCCTCGTCTGTCGCTCGTCGTCGGGAGGACAAAAAAGCGAGCAGAAGAACAACACAAGGAGCGGGGGGAGGAGGAGCAAGGGATGCCTCAGGAATTGCCGGTCACAGGCTTGGAGGTTCATACGAGAGAAGCAGAAAGAAGAAGAGGGGGGGAGGAGGAGAAGAATGGGAGGGGAAGGAGGACTCTCCAGGACAAGCAGGGGTATGGGTATCCTTTTCTCCTCTGACCTCCTCCCCCCTCCTCCGTCCCCCTGCCCCTCCGCCTCCGCCTCCGCCTCCTCCTCCTCCTCCTCCTCCTCCTCCTCCCTGGCTCCTCCCCTCGGCGGACGCTTCGTTTTGCATGCGCCTTCGGGGCACGGGGGAGGTCAGGCTCTGATCTCCCCGACGGTGGCTCCCTGCCTGCTGGCTCCGCGTTGGCGGAGCGCCTGGCCCTTTTCCCTCTGAGGGGCCTTTTCCTTTGAAGAGGTGAGATGGCCTGTAGCGGGCAAACAAAGAGCTGTCCAAGAATGCAGTGCAGGCAGCCGCGCAGCGCTGCGGCCACGCACAAGGCGCTGCGGTATCGCAGCGCGGCGAGCTTCCCCAGCGCGCGGAGCTGTGTTCCCTAGCCGTGCTCCCGAGAGCCTCCCCGAGGAACTCCTCAACGAATGGGCACTCCTCAGAGGAAGAGACCGCTACGGCAGGTTCGCGTCGTGCCGACCTCAGCCTCGGTTTCTGACACCGCGGGGATCGTACAACCTTGAACGACAGGCCGGTTCCAAAACGTCAGATCGTTGAGGAGGAGGAGGAGGAGGAGGAGGAGGAGGAGGGGGAGGAGGAGGAGGAGGAGGAGGAGGAGGAGGAGGAGAGGAGGAGGAGGAGGAGGAGGAGGAGGAGGAGGAGGAGGAGAGGAGGAGGAGGAGGAGGAGGAGGAGGAGGAGGAGGACGTTTTGTACTGACGTACAAAACGTCAGATCGTTCAACATCGACCGATTCTGGGTCGCTGGCTGCGTTCCACGCTGCACGCCGGCGGCGGGGTCGCCGCTGGTCGACACGACGCGAACCTTCCGTACTCCTCCTGGAGAGGAGGAGGAGGAGGAGGAGGAGGAGGAGGAGGAGGAGGAGGAGGAGGAGGAGGAGGAGGAGGAGGAGTCATCAGCATCATCAGCATCACAACCACCACCATCTTTATCATCAACATCAGCAGCAACAGCAACAGCATCAGCATCAGCATCAGCATCAGCATCAGCTGCAGCATCATCATCATCATCATCATCACCATCACCATCACCATCACCATCACCATCACAGCATCAGCAGCATCAGCATCAGCATCATCATCAGCATCAGCATCAGCATCATCATCAGCATCATCATCATCATCATCATCATCATCATCATCATCATCATCATCATCATCATCATCATCATCATCATCATCATCATCATCATCGTCACCGACATCAACACCATCATCGGCATCCACATCATCATCCTCACCCTCATCACGGCCCTCCCGTCCTCGAACAGTCGCTACCCAGACTGCTGGGCTGGCACGGTGGCGGGACCTGCCGCAGACAGCTTGAAATTTCGAACGGCGCGCGTGCATCCTTCACCCATTTTGAGCCCACCGCTGCCGCAAGGAAAGCGCTCCTTGGGGAGGGGGGGGGAGGCGCATAACGTGAGTAAAGCCCCACGACCCCGCAGTATGCCCCCTCACTACCACAATGCTCTCGCGCCTCAACCTCATTGCAAGCTTCGGTCGCCTGCGCGCACCGCGGTGTGATCGATAACACCTCCCTGCCTCTGCCCTCCGCATGCCCATGCTGGGTCACCCCTCACACGTTCCGTTGCCCCACTGGGAGCCCCACCGAAGGCATCAGTGGCTGCGTTCGCAGACCTTGTACACACCATTTCGGCGCACCCCTCACACGTGTCGTGACCCCACAGGCAGCTCCACCGAAGGCCTCAGTGGCTGCATTCGCACACCTTCTCCACACCATGTCGGCGCAACCCTCACACGCTCCGTGGCCCGAGCTCCACCGACGGCCTCCTGTGATTGGTTGCATCGGCACACCTCCTCCACACCATTTCGGCGCACCCTCACGCGCTTCTTGGCCCCATAGGGGGCTCCACCGAAGGCCCCAGTGGCTGCGTTCGCAGACTTCTTAACACCACTTCGGCGCTCCACCGAAGGCCCCAATGGCTACGTTCGCATGCCTTCTCCACACCGTTTCGGCGCACCCGTCACACGCTTTGTGGCCCTATAGGGAGCTCCGCCGAAGGCCCCAATGGTTGCGCTCGCATGCCTTATCCACACCATTTCGGCGCACTCCTCACACGCTTCGAGGCCCACAAGGAGCTCCACCGAAAGCCCAAATGGTGGCTGCGCTCACAGACCTTCTCCACACCACTCGGCGCACCCCACACCCGCTTCGTGGCCCCCCGAGGGCTCCTATGGCTGCGTTCGCGGGCCTTCTCCACACCATTTCGGCGCACCCCTCACGCGCTTCTTGGCCCCATAGGGAGCTCCACCGAAGGCCCTGGTGGCTGCGTCCGCAAACCTTCTCTGCATAAAATTCGGCGCACCCCCCACACGCTCCGTGGCCCCACAGGGAGCGGCGGTCGCAGACCTTCTCCACTCCATGACGGCGCACTCCTCACACGTTTCGTGGCCACACGGGAAGCTCCACCGAAGGCCCCAGTGGCTGCGTTCGCAGACCTTGTCCACACCATTTCGGTGCACCCCTCACACGGTTCGTGTCCCACAGGAAGCTCCAACGACGACCCAAATGGCTGCGTTCGCAGACCTTCTCCACACCATTTCGGCGCACCCTTCACACGCTTCATGGCTCCATAGGGGGTTCCACCGAGTGCCCCAGTTGCAGAAAGCGCAGGCCAGGTCGAGCACGTCCTGACGTGGGAGGACGCGCTCGACCTGGCCAGCGCTGAAGGGCGGCGAACATATCCGTATCCGTGGATTCCAGGGCGCGGTCCAGCGGATGTGCGGTCCCACGTGTACGGCCCGCGCTGGACACCCGCAAACAAAAGCCCCGTGTCCGCGAGGTCGCGGCCCAGGGGCCAGAGCTGCGAGGCCGCGGATACGGAGATGTGTTTCGCCCACAAGGAGGGTCGCGCAGCCTGGTGCGATGAGCGCCCTTCAAGGCCAACAGTGCTGAAGTGGGTGACCTGGTCTCGCGCTGACCACCTCGCAGCCCTCGGCCTTTCAGGGGAGGACGAGAAACACCTCGTCGTCCGCAGTAGTAATCCCAGACATGCGACGTCCTGATTTCTCCAGGACGGCGTCCCCTGAAATCGCGGCCCGACCCTTTCCCCGGGACCGGTTTTTCATCCCGAGTTGTTTTCTGACGGTCCCGGGGCCCCGCGAGGGCCTCTGGAGGCCGACAACGGCGAAAAATCTCCGTCCTGAATCTTTTTCGACGCGATCATGCCTGGGATGCTTTCGACGATCCGTTCGGTAGTCTTGTCCAGCTTCCACGCTGGGACAGGGGCCCTGCCTCCTAGCCACCGTGCCCGGGTCGTGCTTCCTGTCACCGTCCTGCCTGACGTATCCACAGTGGCACTTCCATGCGGTCCCAGATCGTGTCGATCGACGGCGATGACGACGACGAAGACGATGTCGATGTCGATGACGATGACAATGACGACGACGATGTCAATCGTGCGCAAGGTCGTCTGAAGAGAAAATTCCCCATTCGGCTTGGCCCTTTGTCGGGGATCTGCTGACCCGGGTCAATCCAAACCTGGGTCAATCAGGCCTTGCAGAACCCTGCAAGATCCTGCACCCAAACCCTGGTCGGTGAGAAGGATCCTGCACGACCCTGCAGAATCCTGCACCCAAACCCGGGTCAGTGCGCCCCCGGCCCTGCAGGATCCTGCAAGATCGGGCGCTCTGGCTGACCCCCGTTTGCATTGACCCCCGTCTCAAGGCTCCCGACCCAGACATGCGACGCCCCGATTCCTTCAGGACGGCGTCCCCTGAAATCCCCACCCTTTCCCTGGGACCGGTTCTTCATCCCGAGTCGTTTTCTGGACGGTCCTGGGGCCCGGCGAGGGCCTCTGGAGGCCGACAACGGCGAAAAATCTCCGTCCTGAATCTTTTTGCGACGCGATCATGTCTGGGATGCTTTCGACGATCCGTTCGGTAGTCTTGTCCAACTGTCACGCTGCGACAGGGGCCCGGCGAGGGCCTCTGGAGGCCGACCACGGCGAAAAACCTCCGCCCTAAGGGCGTTTTCTCTACCGACGCGACCATGGCTGGGATGCGCTGTGGGCTCGGTGGGGCCCCGGCCCTCGAAGGGCTTCGGGGCGCCGCCGCCCGCTCTCGGGATGCGCCTGGGCTGGGCTTCTGCGGAAGGGGCCCTATAGGACATACACAGGAAGAGACACAAATAACAAGAGATTCCCCGTGTTTTCCCATATCTTCTGGGTTTCTGTCTTCCCCCCCCGCTTCCCATACCTCCCCGTATTTTCTGGGGAGTCGACGATTCATTGTGCCTGTGTGTTATTTCCCCTCCCGATTTGTGGGGGCTCGGCGCGGGCGGGCCTCTGAGCCCGCCGTGCTGTGCTCGGCCCTGGGGGCCGCGGGTGGCTCCGGCTCCTGCGGAGTCGGGGCTTGGCGGCAGTGGGCTGCAGGATCCCGTCCGCGTCGTCAGAGCCCTCAGGGCCCTCCTCCTCCGCCTCATCCTCCTCCTCCTCCTCCTCCTCCTCCTCTCCTCTCCTCTCCTCCTACTCCAAACCTCTCCTCCTCCTCCTCCTCCTCCTCCTCCTCCTCCTCCTCCTCCTCCTCCTCCCCCCGCCTCCCGACAAAGACCACGCCGACGACGACGGCAAAGCAAAGAAGGCGACGACGACCGTGACGGCGGCGACGACGACGACGACGACGACGATGAAGACGGCGACGCTAACGGCCACGACGACGCCGACGAGAAAGCGAAAACGACGGAGGCAACGGCGGGGGCCAGCTGGGTCTCCTGCGGCGTGTCGCGGAGGCCCCAGTCCCCGCCGTCGTGCCGCGCCACCTGCTGGTGCACGTTGTCGGGGAGCATGAGCCCCGACTGCGACCACCACGGGACCCTGGGCGCCGGGCCCCGGCGAGGTGAGGATGCAACTCCTTGGAAGGCTTAGATCGGGCATGTCCCCCACCAGGGGGATCGTGGTTGGACGAAAAATCAAAAATACACCAAAAATGCTCAAACATATTTGAGAAATCAAAACAAGTATCATCCATAATATTTGTTACCATTTTTGAACACTCCTCCCCGATGGAGGAGTCATGAAGCCAGATGAGCCCGGATTGGCCCCAGGATTCAGCCGGACTCAACTGGGTTGAGCGCAACATGCAGGATTAAGCATGTTTTCGACCACGGGCGTACCAGCGCCGATGCGGAGCGTAGCCCCACAGGAGTTAAGCCCTAAAGGAGGAGAAGGGAGACTGAGATTGGCACCGGGGCTCGAGGCCCGAGGCTCAAGTGTGAGAAGGGGCGAGGCTTAAGTCGGGCCTGTCCCTCTTCAGGAGAAATATTAAAAAATGGCCAAACGATAGTATGGGAACCACTCTTCGACTGTTTTTGGACCATTTTGAATCTGTTTGACAATTTGTTACTTTGTCGTCCAAAATCCCTCTGCAGGGGGACATGCCCGACATAAGGCGAGGCTGCTCGCCCCTTTCGAGGCCTCTGCCCCGACTGCGACCATCACGGGGGCCCTGGTGCCGGGCCCAGGCAGACGACGGGAGATTGGCAGTGGGACTCGAGGCTCGAGTTGTGGATGCCATGACAATGGACACTCTAACAATCCGATCATTGAATTAAAGATGTGTGTTAAATGTGTTAAAGCATGTTTTAAACATGTGGTTTGTGTGTTTTTTTTTCTCTCTCTCTCTCTCTCTCTCTCTTTAAACATGGTTTACGTGTTTGAGACATGTTTGAAACATGTCTTAGACGTCTGGGAATTATTTGGCAGCACGTTTCCTCTCCATTGATGACTTCCACAAGGCTCGAGGTTGCTCGCTCCTGTGTGGGGTCTCTGGGAACCTTGGGGGGTTAAAGCGACCCCTCGGGGAACGAACAACGACGTAAACATACAAACTCGGAGGGGCCCTGGTGCCGGGCCCAGGCAGACGACGGGAGATTGGCAGTGGGACTCGAGGCTCGAGTTGTGGATGCCATGACAATGGACACTCTAACAATCCGATCATTGAATTAAAGATGTGTGTTAAATGTGTTAAAGCATGTTTTAAACATGTGGTTTGTGTGTTTTTTTTTCTCTCTCTCTCTCTCTCTCTCTCTTTAAACATGGTTTACGTGTTTGAGACATGTTTGAAACATGTCTTAGACGTCTGGGAATTATTTGGCAGCACGTTTCCTCTCCATTGATGACTTCCACAAGGCTCGAGGTTGCTCGCTCCTGTGTGGGGTCTCTGGGAACCTTGGGGGGTTAAAGCGACCCCTCGGGGAACGAACAACGACGTAAACATACAAACTCGGAGGTCCGCGCGGGTTTCTCGGATCGGCGCTGGACCCCCCTCCCTGGCGCGCGGAGCGCGCCAGCTGTCCACGGCGGCGCTGGAGGCGCCGCCCAGGGGGCCCCGCGCGACCGAGAATCCGCGCGGACTCCGCGTTTTTCTGTTTTCTCATTGCTCGTTCCCCTACCTCCTGCCCGGCGCCCCTGACTTTGCGACTGATTATACCGACAGCGCGCTGGAACAAAACAGGGGTTCGTTTTTTTTTTTTTTTTTTTGTTTCTCCCCCCTAACGTCCGTGACGGGGGGGGAGCAGGGTCCGGCCGCCGTGGGGGGTAACAGTAACCTGGTGGGCTCGGGCATGGCACCTGTAGTGATGGTAGTAGCAGTACTGACAGTGTGGTAGGAGTTCTGGTGAAGGCCACGAAAACGACGAGGACGACGACGACCACCAGCGGCAACGACAACGACAACGGCAGCGTCAACGACAACGAAGACGCCGACAACAACGACAACGACCAGCCAGGACGGCGACGACGACGACGACAACGATGACCAGCGGCGGCAGCAACGACAACGACGACTGGCGGGAACGACGACGACGACGACGACGACGAATAGTAGTAGCAATATTAGTAGAAACAATCGTACTACTAGCACGGGAAGTCATCGTAATACTTAGCACTGCTAACCTCCGTAATACTAGAGGCACTGGTGGTACCACTACCACTATAGCACTACAGCAAATATTACTGTCGCTACTACTAAAACGATCCCGCGTGTGAGTTTCTGAGAGCGTGGACCTGAGCTCGCTCGAGCTTCGCTCTGCAAGTGGGGGGGAGGGGGGACGCCATTCCCGACGCATTTAGTGTTCGGGGGCGGGGGGGCCCACACCATTAAGGGGAGGGGGGGGCGACGCCGTTTCCGACGCATTCAGTGCTCGGGGGCGGGGGGCCCACACCATTAACGAGGGGGGACGCCATTCCCGACGCATTTAATGCTCGGGGGCGGGGGGGCCCACACCATTCCCGACGCCGTTCCGACGCTCTGACCATGGAGGGGGGGGGGGGCAGACGCCATTCCAAACGCCATTCCCGACGCATGTCGTGCTCGCAAGACGCCTCCAAGACGCCACAATAGGTATCCAACCACCTGCGAAAAGAGAACCACGAGGTCCAAATCGTCAAATGCCAATGGAAAAAAAACGCACATGCTTACCTTATGCGATATTTCTGCCTTTGCGACGTTGCCGACGGTCCCAGAGGCCCCCGAGACCGCGTCAAGACGGCTCAAGAGGCCCCCAAGACGACCCCAAAACGGCCCAAGAGGGCGCCGAGACGGCCCAAGAAGCGCCCAAGCCGGCCCAAGAGGGCTCCAAGACGGCCCCAGGAGAGGCCCCAGAGGCCGAACCGAAAATCCCAGCCTTTGCCCTCACGAGGTTCACAAGAGGCTCCAGGAAGCCCCCCAAAGGCCCCAACAGGCCCCCAAGAAGCCCAGGCCCCAGAAGGCCCCCAAGAGCCCCGAAAGAGGCCCCAAGAGGCTTCAAAACGACTCCCAACTTACTGGGCCCAGACCCCAAGCTCTCAAATCTCTTGGGGCTCCCCGCGCGCCCTCTGGGGCCCCCAGATTGTTTCCGCATGACTTTTCGAGCCCAAGAGAAGCCCAAGACGGGCCAACAGGGCCCCAAGAGGCCCTCAAGACGGCCCAAGAAAGCCCCGAATCACCGAACGATCGGCCCAAGACGCCCAAGATGACCCCAAGACGGCCGGAGAAGCTTTCCAGACGCCCCAAGAGCCCCACGAGCCTTCCCAAGAGGGCCCCGAGAGGCAAAAATCATGTACTTTCTCTGAATTGTTCAATGCGCGTGTGTGTGTGTGGTCAACATCACCACCACCATTCGTCATCAACATCCCTACCACCATCACCATGGTCAACGTCATCGTCATCATCATCATCATCATCATCATCATCATCATCATCAGCATCATCACAAGTACCATCAGCATCAGCATGAGCATCAGTTTCAGCATCATCATCAACAGCATCATCATCATCATCATCAGCAACATCACCATCACCATCGCCGTACTCACCAACTGCACCACCCTTAGCACCCTGAGAATTCACATCATCAACATCAACACCACCGTCATCATTATCAGCATCATTGTGGGCACACCGCGATCATCATCACAACCACCATCACCATCACAAGCATCACGATCCTGATTCTCGTCGTCGTCATCGCCATCTCCATGCTCTACACCATGGCCAATCCCATGATAAACATTATCATCATCAACATCATCATCATCATCATCATCATCATCATCATCATCATCATCATCATCATCATTATCCGGAGCGCCCCGGATCGGCGGCACTGGCCGGAGGCCAGCACAGTATTACTGTCGCTACTACTAAAGCGACTACTCCTACGACTGGTACTTCACTTATCCGAGCAACTACTACTGATACTACGTGTATTACTACGTATACTACCATGTCTATAACTAGTGGTGCTCTTAGCAGTGCCTATGCTAAAACGTAGTAGGTAGGACGACAGCACAATGAAAGTAGCGAAAATAGTGGCACTTAATACTAATACTAAGATTCACACTCGTTATCGTTCTAAGATTGTGTCGGTAGTGACATGCGTTATTTCTTAGATGCAGTGGCGGTAGCGGTAGTAGTAGTAGTAGTAGTAGTAGTAGTAGTAGTAGTAGTAGTAGTAGTTGG